GAACCAATATTTTAATAGGAAAAAAATAGAAACCCTTCATGAAACTTTCTGCTGTGAATTGTTAAAGGTATGCTGGGCAGACTTCAAGAAAGATTTATTTTCTAGTTGACTCCAAAATATAGTGAAAAAAATCAGTAGCTCCTGTTTGAATTATTTTACTTAGTTACTGTCATCAAAATGTTTATAGGCTTTTGGGAGGCAAAATTTGTTTCTTTGTAGACATTAAAATATAGTTGCATATAAGTTTCAAAATTTGTACACAAAGCACAAATAGCCTCACATATTCCACAACAATTTAGGGAACTGTTTAGTAATTATTTCTTAAATTTAGTAAATTCTAAGTTATTATGATAATTAAGCTAGTATTTCATAAGAAAGTATAATTATGAATGAAAGGTAGCTCTTAATCTGAATAAAACTTTGAAAAGTAGTTTGGCAATAAAGTTCACTATATAATTGAAAATCACTTTGATTTATATATTTCTATGCATATATCAACACTATAAACAGAGATATATTTACTAAAAAAAGATAATAAATATTAATGCTAATTTTATTCCCAGAGTTTACCTAAATTCATTAATTAAAGTAGCTTTTATAGAATTTTCACTGTTGAAGAAATTTGTGAAATGATAGAAAGAATAGATTTAGAGCAACAAAAATGAGAAATAATGATTTTCTACATACTGTTTTTCTCTAAGGCAGTGCCATGTAAGCTTAACCAACTCCACTGTTAAACTCTACCAAGTTATAATGAAAGAAATAAAAAGACTGTGCCCACACATTTATATTATTACAACAATATATTTCCACACATAGAACATATTTGGTCCCAAACAAAATTTATAAAATTCTCTTTTAGACCATCTATACCAAATCATAAAGAGATTACTATATGGCAATAATGTGAAAATACTTTATTATTTGTATTATAAAGGCCAAGGGTCAGTAAGATTTTTCCATAAAGAGCTTGATAGTTAATATTTTGAGTTTTGTGATCACGTTCAGTATCTGTTGCACAACCAGCTAAAAACATAAGAAAAATTCTTTGCTTGAAGTCTGTACATAAACAGGTAGTAGGTTGGATTTGGTCCACTGGTTACAACTTGCTGATTCTTGATATATGTCACGAACAACCTGTCATGGTTTATATCTAGATGTCCTCCCAAAACCTCATGAAATCATAGGTGAGGCTTCTGGAAGGTGATCGGATTATGGGGGCTTATTGCTGGCTTGCTGTTAGGAGGTGGGGCATGGTGGGAAGAAGTAGTCACAGACGTGTGACCCGAAGGTTGTATCTCCCTTTCTGGCTCCTCCCTTGGCTCTCTCTGCTTCCTGGAAACATACCATGAGCAGCTCTCCTCTGCCATGCCCTTGTGCCATGCTGCCTTGCCTTTGATCCAGCTGACTATAAACTGAAACCTCTACAAACTGTAAGCCAAAATAAGCCTCTCCTCCTTTAAGTTGTGGATACCAGGTATTGTGTCTTGGCAACAAAAAAATGACTAAGATACATCCATAACTATACCATGAAAATGCTGGCAGGGTCACTTAAAAAGTTCTGATCTTTTACCTTATAATCACCAAAATAGTTCCTTTCTAAATGAAACTTCTCTTCCAGTTCAGTATTACCCACAGAATTGCCGAAGGCAAAACCCAGGACTCAGTTATCACCTAGATGAAGAGGACTAGCTACTCCTTGTCTCCCCTCTTGAGACTCATTCAGATCCACTTATTATGCAAGGGTTAGGCCTTGAAGCCTTCCCCAGAACTACCATGTCACAATCATTTCTCCCATTTCTAACTCCTGTACATTTAATGGGTTAAACCTTCACACCACTCAGCACTTTTGTTAATGACTGAATACTTTGCCAAAATATACAATACTTTTAGTAAATAATTTAGAATCTCATTCTGCCTTGTTAGACTAAATTTCTTATATGTGAGTCTAACGTTTTGTTAAAGTAGAATGTAAGGTCTTTATGACCAAAGACTGCAACGTCTTTTCTTTTCTTTGGGGGGATTGATTGGCAAAGGCCTCCTCACAGTGGTGGTGATGAACACTTTTTAGCTACAAGGCAGCTCACAGAGCTGACCTCATTCTGAGCACCATGGGAAGTGAAGGGCTTGAGGCAGCTAGAATTGTTAGGGAATCCAGAACAGTGTGCGAGGAAGACCTTAGCGTGGACCTGCTTTGCCCCACAGCTCTGTGCTTCCCCTTCTGTAGAGTATGCAGAAGGTGCCTGTGAACTGACTTCCTGGCCCGGTTTTGTGTTTCTCAGCCTCTCATGCAGTTGGACGACATGACTATTTCCTGCCAATGGAAGGTGAGTAGAAAAAAATGGGTTATGGCTTATATCTAGATGTTCCACCACTCAGGTACTTATAGGTGGGGCATTTTGGAGGCAGCTAGATCTAGGGTGTACGAAGGTGGATTCATGGTGTGATATTGGGGTTCAAAGTGTGTGGATTAGTCCACTAATTGTTTTAGCGTAGTTCTTGATGTGGATAATGGTAGCCCTACCTGGGTGTAGGTGACACCAATCAATAAGCTTACAGCCTGGATGGAATATAAAGAGAGGAGGGGAAGGGAGGCTTACCACTGCTGCTGCTGTTTGTTGCTTTGCTGTCTTCTGCCCCTGCTTTGCCATGGACTATTTCTCCTCTGAGATGCCTCTCTGCCATGGCACCCTGCCTCAGAGCCAGCCGACTATGGAATGAAACCACTACAAACTGTGAGCCAAATAATCCTTTCCTCCTTTAATTTTGGGTGGCGGGTATTTTGCCTCGACAACAAGAAAAGTAACTAAGACACGATGTGAACCACTTCCAGACTGTCTCACAAAAACCTCCCACTCTCCCCCGTGGCTGCCAGCTGGATGTTGATGTTCAAGGCCTAATAACATCCATTTGCTGAAGAGTCTGTCAGCCTGGATCCCTGAATAACCATATGGAGCACAGCCTTACTGAATGATGGGTAAGCAGAAATGAGTTCTATCATGTAAAGCCATGGAAATTTGAGGGCTTATTTGCTTCAGCAGTTGTCATTACCTGTTTTAGAACAGAGGATTTCTTTTGTAGCAAGAGCGAGCTGTATACTGTTGGGCTATCTGTGCCATTCAATGATGCTATAGAGAGGCCCAGAGACGATCTGATTTATTCCCTGCTTCCAGTTTGTGACTTGCTTATATATTAACTTTTGAGTTCAACTAAGCCAGCCCAGAAATGATTATGCTCCTGGCAAATGCTTCTATCAATATGGTAATACTAAGAATCCAGAATAAGTTCTTTGAAATTGGCTCAATCATGTAAAACATGCAGAATGTCTTTTAAGAGGTAAGATAAAGAGCTACCCTAAAGCAAAAAGCCCATGTTTTCCCTTCCTGGAATTTTTTTCTTTCCATTCCTCAAAATGCAATGCAGATTAGTCATCAGTATGTCAACCCATTTGTATGAAAACGTCACAGATATTGTCAAGTAAACCAGTTCTGTTCGTGTGATTGTGTGTCTTTTGCATACAGGTATGGGTGCATATACCCGTCAATTTCATAGTGGCTTAAAATCAAGTCATTTCTGATTTTATCCATGCATTTTAGTAGGTTATAGTGACACTCAAAACCTTACAGAGAAATGAATCTCATTTTGTCATATCCTAGGAATTTTAGTGGTGAGGAATTTTCAAGCCAGATCCATTGCAGTGTAAATCCATTTTTGTCCCCTTGGCTAGAGTATATAATAGAGAATAAAAGAGCTTTAGAGCAATTCTCTTGGGTATTTTTTTAATATAGTCCAAGATGTATAGAATTTTAAAGTTTCTCCCTTTCTTGTTCTGAGGATAAAGTGCAAGCTTCCAAATAGGATTTGTACGTTCTTGATCAGGCTCCTGTTCACCTCTCCTACCCCGCCCACTATCCACCTGCATTCTGTGCACTGGCCACTCTGTGACTCATTTCTGTTCCCAGGATGCTGTGCACTCACTCTCCTCCAGCCTTTGCACATACATATCCCTCAGCCTAGCCCTAGTATCACCTCCTTCATCCCTCTCTTTTTCCTTCCGGCTCTTCTACTCAGCCTTCAGGCCTTGGCTTAGCTGTCATTTCTTCCACACAGCTTATTCTGACTGCCCTTCAAAACCAGGCTAAGTGAACTTCCTGAGTCTTCCATCAACGTTATTCTTAATTGAAAGACTCAACACCTCATGCTGTAATTGAATTTTAGTGGTCAGTTTCCTTCTTTAGATTTCAATCTCCATAAGGTCAGAGTAAATCTTTGTAATGACATTTAATCTAATATTAAACATTACATATGGACCATCATATGCACTCAGAAAATGTTGATTGAATGTTGCTAAATTTAGAGTAACCCTCATCTGATGTTGAGATTTACCACACATATAAAGATGATGTTACTGACCACCCACCAACCAAAAGACACTTGTCTTGAATTTTCTTATTCCCAGGATCACTTGTGACTAAAAGAATTGAAGTAAAAGAGCTGGGTGTAAATCATAGTTGTCATTTGTACAACTGATTATATTCAGTGACTAAATTCATGACCCTGAAACAGGACAATAGAGACTGACTTGTACAAATTGATCAAGAAAGACATAAACATGTCACAAAACAAACGAATGAGCCTCTCACTGGTTTGGGTAATTTGAACTTGTTTCTTCCAATCTGTAGATTCAGGGAGAATAATCCAGTGCAGCAGTGGCAAGCCAGACCTCCCTTCCTCCCTGCACATCGCTGCTCAGCAGCACACCTATTTGGGAGATCCTCTTTGAACTAATACTCGACTTGCTCCAGAATACATGGGACAACTAGGGCTGGGGATTTAGCTCAGTGGTTTTGCCGCCTGCTGCGCAAGTGCAAGGACCTGAGTTCGATCCCCAGTACTAAAAAAAAGAAAAGGGACAACTAGAGAGAATTTTTAAACCCAAAGCATCAATCAGCAATATTATATTGACTCTTGATACTATGTATATAAATGCTTGTTTTTACCTTGTGTAACTGATAATACTGGAAGGCACCAACTCCACCTTGCTCCTCTGCAGTCCACAGGACAAGGCGTAGAGTTCGCTTTGGACGCAGCCCTAGGAAAAATAATAAAACAAGTGATTTGTCCGTTGATTTTGAATTTTTTCTAATGGCAGCATCCATCGCCTGCATTGTGGACGCGGGAAACAATCAGAGGCACTGCTCTCTTGCTGTGCGGCTGCCTTCCTGAGGGTATGGCTGATACAGCAAAGGCAAAACTCGGGTCATCTCCAGGGCTGGGAAAAGGGGCTATGACAGTTGCTGTCTGCAGGTCAGGAAGTGATAGCCTCTAATCACATCCTGAACTGGCTATCCTGCCTGGCAGGGCCCAAAGGACGGTCAAGTTCAGGGAGCTACTAGGTGATATCCAGAAGGTGCAGTTAGGAAGAGCTTAAGGAGGTCTTTAGGTCTTGCAGAAATCTCACCTGGGACCAAATCATTTGGTTCTACTTCAAGATAAACTGTGGGAGGATTACTTAGTCTGAATTCACAAGTACAGCTACCTGCTCATGCTATCTTCAGTGCTGTTGTAACTGAGAAATGATGCAACATCTATGGTTACCTATGTCCAGTTTCTTCTTCTATTTAGAAATATAAGGTCATTCATTGAAGGTCAGTGAAAATTAATTGATCAGGGATGACATTTATTAACTTTATTACTTCACTAACAGCTTATGGCAATTTCATTGACTTGTGGTAAACAAATTTGTATAGACAGTCACTGGTTTATGGCAGTTCAATTTAGTAGGTTTTTTTTGTTTGTTTGTTTGGTTTTTTTTACCTTACAGTGGTGCAAAAGCAATGCATAGTCACTAGAAAACAAGACAAGAATTTTGATCTTTTCCTGGGCCTTTCTCGGGAGATTGGACAGCAGAGGCCACAGCTACCAGTCAGCCACACGATCACAAGGAGAAATAGTGGAGGCTTTGCGGTGCCCTGTGTAGCTCAGCTAGGATGTTGGGTAGCTTAGGATGTTGGGTACATTAAATGCATTTTGCACCTAGGATATTTTCAAGTTATGAAGGGTTTATTAGGAAGCATGCCCATCTTCAGTCAAGGAAGTTACTGAAGTTAATAATGGTAGATCTGGCATATCTGGAACCATTTTTGCATGACCATATCTTCTCAGTAAAAGTTAATATAAGGAAGCTCTTTTTCCAAATTAAAGCATGATGAAACAGTAGTATTAAAGTGCCACGTTGTCACCAAGATTTAAAATCTGTCCTGATTCAGACCTGATAATGTCATTTCTTGGAACTAGCAAAGGCAGAAAAATGTGAGGCTATACTTAAATCTTACTAAAAGGATTCTTCTCCCCGCCTTCTCACAAGCCACTCATTGATAAAGACTGAAATGTACTTTGAGTGGCTCTGAGATGGACGTGCTATGAGGCTCTGCTATAACCACAGGTGTGCTGCCACGCAAGGGTAGGGGGACAGGCAGCACAGGCAGGAGCCAGATGGTCAGCTGCAGCTGGGACATGGAACTCCTTCCTGCCATCTCCAGATGCCCACAGTCATCCTCCTCTCATAAGCACAGTGCTAAATTGCTAAAGGAGGCAGCTATATTTTTTTCTGAAATGAATACAGCTGTGAAGTTATTTTACACTTGAGAATTTCGACATTATTAAAAGAGCACAGTTAGGATGCAGGCTGACCTGAATTCCAGGTAAAGCCTGGAGAAGGAATTTCCACCTCAATCCCACCTCGAATCCTCTGGCATGTCCTTGTAAATCCATTAGAACTGAACTCCTCACCTCTGCTGCACTCTACTCTCTGGTGTCTGGATTGTTGCAGTTGTTTCCAAACAGGTCTCCTTCCCTCAGCCCTCACCTCTCTGAGGATGATGCTGCACACGGTGGCCAGAAGAACCTTTGCAAACTTAAGCTGATCATATCATTTCTCTGCTCAAAACCTCCAATAACCAAAGTGTAAGCTTCTGGGAGGCAGGGATTTCTGAGTTTTAATTCAGTTCCCAGATTATTTGGCACACACTAAGTATCCAATAAGTAGTACTGAAGGGATGTCTGAATGCAAAGCTTGGTATTTTCATTAGAATAATGAAAATAAAGTCCCTTCTCAGCCTCATCTAGAACTTTTGCCAGCTCATTCCCAGGCAAGGTGTTACATGGGGAAGAGATGAACAGATCTGCTGAACCCTGCTATCATTATACTGGCCTGCCTGAACCTCGCTCAGCCTTTTTATCTGACACATGGAGAAGATATTATACGCCTATACCATAACTCTTCATTGGGTGGTTGTGGGGATTAAATGAGATGGGATGATGTGTGTAAAATGACCCTGTAGCTGATATGTAATTGGCACTTAATAATGAACTATAAAACTGCATGATGGTATCCAGGCATGAAACACACACTTTCACCTCCACACAAAAGAAGGGGCATCTACTGCCCAGAGGGGATTCTTCCAAAGGCCTCAAGGCACTTGAGAAAGAAGAACCTTGGCACAACTACTACTTGTTCCAGAATCAAACCACCTATGACATCTTGGCCTTTTTGGTTGAGATCTAGTGCAGGGTCTGACTACTGGCTCACATTCATGGCATGAACTGAACAAACTGTTGTCTGAGAAAGAAATCTAATCAGGATTATTCAAAACCTCAACCTTCAATTCCTCTAAAAGAAATGTGCTTAAAGTTGATTTAAATCAAAGGACATTTTGCTTGGAACCCAGGGGAAGAAAATAAGATAAAATAGTATCATTTATATGCTGAAAATGAAAATTCTAAACATTTTCAAATATATAAGGAAAATACATTTTCGTTTTACATCTCTCTGTACTAACAGAAAAATAGTATCAAATTATTAAAATAATAGAATTCTCTAAATAACGATAAGAGAGCAGCACAAGCTGTAGAGAATCCACATTTAAAAGCCAATGTTCTGCATATTCCTATTGATTTGATGTGCGGCTTGAAAGTCATTACTGCACAGAGTTAGGCTCCCTCACATTTCAAATCAGCAATGGCCAATGCTGTTATATTAAGAAAATAAAGAAATAATGAGTCTGAAGTGAGGAATGCTAATGTCTCAAAAGGACAGAAGTAGAGATTGCTCTAAAAAGAAAGAGCCTAGCCAGTCGGGCGGAGAGGACATTGGCTGCATGGAGTTCGGCTAAATCTCGCCCTCAACCCACCCCTCAGTGACCAGCTTAGCAGTGCAGCACCTGCAGGGCACTCCCCCCCCCAACCCCCAGCCTCCTCCTGGCTGTGCTGGTAACTGGTTCCACACTACAGACGCACATGGGGTCATAAAGGACATTGTCCTGAGCTCCAGAAGATAGACCAGAAGTGAAGAACAAAAAGAGGGCCTCCCTCAGGCTCCTTGATGAAAACTGAAGCCCACTGGAAAAGTGAAGAGAATCTCTGCAATAAAGGCACACCAGACCACTGTACATGGTAAGTTGGAGGGATCATCACCTCCCATCGGAATCTGGACTATCTTCAGGGGAAGGGTAGCTGGAACCCTTAGTAGAACCTTGCAGAGTTCAACCCTGCAGGAGGACAGGGAGCTCAGCTTGGGACTTGCAGCCAGAAATCTGCCTGAATCTCAAGGGTCTGTGACTGGCTTGCTGAGACTCATCGACTTACAACTGCACACTGCTGCCCACATTGTCTATTGTGACAGCAGAGACATACCCTGAAGGAGGCCCTTCATTTTTATTTTTTATTTGTCATTTTCAAAATTATTATTTTTCTTTGCTCTTATTTCTAATTTTTAATTTTTATTTTGTTCTTTTTCTACTCTTTTCAAAATTTTATTTTTCTCTTCTTTTTTTTCCTTGTTTTTTCTCTTTTCTCTCACATGCTTTCTTGCTGTCCCACATTATTCTTCATCTCCTTTTATGTTCCTGTTCTGGCCCTAATTCAGATTTCTTCTTTATTTTTCTTTTCTTCTCTTTTTCCTTTTTTCGATTGTCATTAGTTTAAAAGGAAAGTAAATATAGTTTCTAGCTTCCCTATTTCTGTTAGGTTGTTCTGTTCTCATCTTTGTTCTTTCATTCTGTCTTTACCTCTTGTGTTCAACAGTTTCTTAGAGTTTGCATGATCTTCCTGTGTCCTCTGGCTTCACTGCTAATCTTCCCCTATCCTTCTTCCTATCCCTCCCTCCCAAACTCCTTCTAACTCCCCATCCTGAAGGGTAAAGTTGCTATATTGAAGAGTTTATTCACAATAAACATATGGTGGGCTGGTTCTCGATTTTGACTTAATTCACAAAGTTAAACGTGATAGATTAATAATTACCAAAAATTGTCATTCTCTAAGCTGTGCTTAATGCTATGGTGTTGCTAATTGTATCATTTGGGCTGAGGTGTTGTGATTGATCTAATCAGTTGTCCTTCCTGGCATAATGAAAATGAGACAGCCTCAGAGTCATTAGAAACTCAAAACCTAAAGACCAGCTATACCTGGAAGACACATCTGAGAAGCAATCATTCCATAAGGTTCTAAATACAAGCAACAAAGATACTTACAATAAATAATTTTGAAGTATCAGCCCAGGAATTAAACCAAGAACAGTACCAAAAACAAAAATGAGAAGACATTTAAGCGAGGCACAATCCCAGACTTCCACTCCACCAAAGGGAAACTCTGGGGGAAATGAGGTGGAAAAGTCTGACAATCAACCACCTGGACACCCTGAACTGATAGCATAGGAAGTAACAAAACAGATGAATGAAAAGTTCAAAGCAAATAATTTCCCAGATAACTACAGAGATGGTGAGCAGAGTGAAAGACATGATTAGAGGCTCTAGAACAGAAACAGATAAAAAAAATAGATGAGCTCAGAAATATGGTAGAAGCCATGAATGCCCAGCATAAGAAAGAAATGGAAATCATGATTGCCCAACATAAGAAAGAAATGAAATCCATGAAACAGATTCAAACAGATGGCCAGGAGATTAAAACTCCACTGAAAACAGATTAAGTGAATGTGAAGATAGAATATCAGATATAGAAGACAGGATTGCAGTTAGTGTCCATGAAAACACAGATTTCTTAAAAATAGTAAGGGACCATGAGAAATCAATCCAG